CAGTGGAATCATGAGACTCTTTTATTTCAGGGTAAATAGGCAATAGCTTCATTGAATTTTCAACTTCTATTTGTATTATTTAATCCCTGCTCTTGGAGTTGAAGTAAATGACTTTTAAAGGATGTAAAGTTGCATTAGTAAACCAGCATAAGGCCGTGTTTTCAGAAATGGTGGGGTTTGCACTTAGATCATTCTCTTTGGTGCATTTGTCAAAGCAAGTGTCATTTGCTTAAACAAAACATGAAATGGGTTTTTTACATCAGAAACTATCTGCTGGTCCATGAACCACTAGGAAACAATGCCGCTACAAAATTAAAGTCTGATTTTTAAAAGAGTAACTGATAAGTAAAGAAGCACTTTAGAAAATATTACTGCCTATGGGTTTTCTACAAATACAGAAGTAGCGACTTCTTTCCTTCTTAGGTCATTATGAAGGTTTTCCACTTTTCCTGAAAATCAGCGTAACCAATTAAAATGTTGCAGGCAATTATTGTGTGTACAAAAATTATATATGACTAGCACTACAGCTCTGGTTTATTGGAAATCATTCTGAATGTACTACTCAAAGGAGAACAGCAGTTACCTGAGGGATAAAGCTGCCTGTCCCCTTTCGGCCCTTACAGCAAAGCGCCTGAGGCAGGCGACCGATCCCTTCGGAATCTGCTCATGCTGTGAAGCAGCATCTGCTGTTCCACAGGAGCAACCCTCTGTCCATGCTGCGTCAATAGATATGGTTCTATCAAGCCAAATCCAGACCCAGGAGACCACATTTCTTCTTAACTTAGTCTTCAGACTCTCTGATCCAGGTCTTTCCCCAGCCTCTTCCTTGCAGACGGGAGGTTACAGGTACAAACCGCTGCTATTTTCAATGCAAGGGAATCGCTGGTATCTTCTTAGAGCACCTTCACTAAATAAACCAAAAACAGTGTCTGAATGTGTTTCTCTGGTTTGGCTAGGAAACAACATCTTCCTCTTCATCTCTTCTGAGTGCACAAGGAAATTTAGGAATGAAGTACTGAAATTAATATCCCAGGAAAAGAATGAAGAAGGCTTTTTTTATGCTCCTGGGGAACACTTCCAGAGACGGTGATTCCACCTCCTCCCTGGGCAACTTATTCCAATGCCTGACCATTCTTGCAGTGAAACAATGTTTTCTGATATCTAATCTGAACCTCCCCTGATGCAACTTAAGGCCATTTCCTCTCCTCCTTCCATTTGAGATGTGGCAGAAGAGCCCAACCCCCCCTGGCTCCACCCTCCTGTCAGGGAGTTGTAGAGAGCAAGAAGGTTCCCCCGAGCCTCCTCTTCTCCAGGCTGAGCCCCCCCAGCTCCCTCAGCTGCTCCTCATCAGACTTGCACTCCAGACCCTTCCCCAACTCCACTCCCTTCTCTGGACACGCTCCAGCACCTCCATGTCCTTCGCATTCCTTGTTTTAGCCTAAGACTGGATGTGTACATGAAATGAAGCCATCAACACTTGCATCACTACTCCACGGGGAAAGCCCAGTAGCCGTTTACTTAAAGAAACCTCTGCTCCTGCAAGCTCCCAACCACTTCAGAGTGAAAGGAAATGTCTCTGGAGGCAGATACAGTCCCTGGGTTGTGTACTGACCCCAAGAGATAAAACCCTTAAATTCAATGATTGGCTCTGTCCTGATGCATAACACGTGACCATACCGACTAGGTGCAATTTTGAGAAGTATATCTAAAATATGCATCCTTTTCAAAGTCCTCAAATTATCTGTTTCTAGATATAAACATACTGAATTGGACACAGTGCCCAGGGAAGCTGTGGCTGCCCCATCTGTGGAAGTGTTCAAGGCCAGGTTGGACAGGGCTTGGAGCAACGGGGTCTAGTGGAAGGTGTCCCTCCCCATGACAAGGGAGGTGGAATGAGATCTCTAAGGTCCCTTCCAATCCAAACCATTCTGGGATTCTGTGATTCTATTAATTATACCAGTAATTCAGCAGTGCATTACCTGGTAATGGGAAAGTCATGGCAAACTTCTTGCAATCAAGCTTGATTTTAGGCAAATCTGTAGTGAGCAATAGGATACTGAAACAATCAGGCTTTCTGCGAACTGCCTGCAGTACAGTAATTCATGTTATTTATTACTCTACAGTTACTTTTTCCACAGTTTCATGTTCACTCACCTCTGGAAAGAGGACATCAGTTATGAATCTGATGCCGTCCCCAAGGAGGTGTTGGAAGTTTGTCTTGTCCATCTTGGCATATACTTCCTGCAGATAATGAACAACTGTGTCCAACTGCTCTTCATCTTCAAGGAATGTTTCTATGCAGGGCACATATTTTCTATACATCAGGAATTGTTTCAGCCAACGGGACTGTTTCCCACTTTTTAAGATCTCCAATAAATGTTTCTCAGTCTCCCTTTTGTAGTCTGTAAAATCCACTAGTTTTTTGTTTTCCTTGTCCCTCGTGGCTCAGACAGGGTCTGGGAGGAACTGCCTGCCGTGCGAAGGTGCCAGCTGAAGGACCTTCCCGTGCCTTGGTGGGGAAGGTCCTTGTTCATCAAATGTGGTGAAACATAGGGATGGAAGGAATCTTTTTAAATTAAATTTCCGCTCCAGCTAGGGCTTTGGGGACTTTGTTTGTTTGTTTGTTTTTTGAGAGGAACATTCAGGTGCAGAGCCAGCTTTCTTGTGGAATACCTCAAAATCACTGTGGATACCAATTTACAATTTTCTGTGCTTGACTTGTATAATTTCTGGTGTACAAAGCCTCTGGGGCCTAAAAAATGAGCTAAGGGATTTTTAGAATGCAAACAAACATACTAAATACAACATCTTAGTAATGATAAGGTGATTGTCACCAGTCATCTTTTCATTTGTGGTAGTGGTGAAAGCTGTCTTTCCTGGCAAGATCCAGGAGAAACAACTCAGCAACTAAGCATTGGTCCAAAAGGCTAAAAATAATGCTTTGCTCATCAAAAAGGGATGTGTTTATTATTTCAAAGTAGTTTTCATCTCGCACCCCATAAGCATTAACCTCATGACGGAAATCAGATGTGTTATTTCAACCTGGATATGCTCTTAGTAGAAATCTTTGTGTGTGGTAAAGTAGATGAATGTTGAAGACACATTTTTTCTCCCCCTAACTTTCAGTATGACTTAGCTTTAGAATAAGGGAAGAAAAAGAACTGGTTGGTTTACTGCAAACTGTTTTATGTTTTTCTGTGAAGAATGTACAACAACAGGGCTTTTAATGGTAATAATAGCACATGTCCCAGTCCTTTTAATTGAGCTCCAAACGAGAGCGCCTCGGGACCCAGAGTGGAGCTGAGGTGGCGGCAGCCTGGCGAGGAACAGCTCCTGGGGGAACCAGGATGGGTTTTCCTAGAACTTAAATGAATTTGTTATCCTCTATTTTAAATTGTTAAATAATTTTATTGTTTGCAAATGGAATGTTACCCAAAATGTTGTTTTTTTTGTTTTGTTTGTTTGGCTTTTTTTCCAAGCGCTCTGTTAGGGAATGTGAGCGTGGAAAAGGAAATTCATTATGAGCAGAACTCGCCAATAAAATGTCACTTGTTTGGGTAGTTTTTATTGAGTGGTCTGTCATGGTGATGTTACCACAAAAAGTTCTCTTGGAAAATACAGAGTTTTGGGATGATACCAGTGTAACAGCCCATTTTCCTTTTTAATTCGTTGCTGTAGGATCACACAAACATGAGCAACGCTGGTTGTAAAATGTACAAATTCAGGAGCTTGTGTGACTGAGGGCACTGGTGTGAGACATACCTCTAGATATTAACATTTTTAATGGCAGGGCACACATATACCTCCAGATAGTAATATTTTTAATGTCAGGTGCACATATATCTCCAAATGTTGAACTTTTAGTGGCCATGTGCACTTGGGCCGGGAGAGGATGGGGACAGCCTCCCAGCAAGAGAAATTTGAATGGTATTGCTAATTGGATGAATTCTCTATTTTCTTTCTGGTGAACATAGAGGTAACACATAGAAACTTTCCCTGGAAGAATCCTTCACAACAGGACGCAGCTTTGTTCATCAAAAAGGTGTTATTTTAGTATGAAATTTCATCTTGCCCTGATCATGGGTGTTGCCAGAGTGGCTGCTTCCATGAAAGAGACTGAGGAGGAGGGTAGTGCTTGTCTCTGCTTTAGATGCTCTAAACCATAGTATGTGTTTGGGGGGTTGTTTTAGGCAGATGAGTGATGTTTTACACACTTTATTAAGACCTTTACATGCATGTGTTTAAAGGAAGGAGCAGAGCCCCCTTTAAAAGTAACATGTACCTGCATGGCAGGTATGTACCTGCATTTGGTTCCACTCCTATAACATGCTCCTTCAGGCTGGAAACTTTCAGGTAAGTTTTAGTATATCTCAGGGGAAGTTTAGGTTGGATATTAGGAAAAGGTTCTTCCCCCAGAGGGTGGTGGGCACTGAACAGCCTCCCCAGGGCAGTGGTCACGGCCCCAAGGCTGCCAGAGCTCAAGGAGCACTTGGACAATGCTCTCAGGGACAGGGTGGGATTGTTGGGGTGTCCTGGCAGGGCCAGGAGCTGGACTCGATGATCCTTGTGGGTCCCTTCCAGCTCAGGATATTCTTTTATTCTTTTATTCTGTAAAAACTGTACAAGGGATGCTGCTGCTCCTCGCCGCCTTGTGCCCAGCGGCAGGAGAGTCGCGAGGGAAGAGAAGGGACTGGCCGCTTCTCAGGGGCCACCGCGGCACCGCCTCTGAGGGCACATGGCGGTACTGTCTCTGGGGGAACACGGTGGCACCGCCTCTGAGATGACACCGCAGCACCGCCGAAGAAAAACATGGCGGCACCGCCTCTGAAGGAAGGGGTGGTGGCACGCGGCGAGCGCGGGCTCAGCGCCGGCCAATCAGACGGCGGCGGGAGTCCCCGCCGCAGCCAATGGGAGCGGGGCGCGGGGCCGGGAGGGAGTTGAGCGCGTGTCCGGCGGGGCCGCGGCTGCGGCCGGGTCTGAGGGGCGGGGCGCCCGTAACGGGGCTGGGCCGGCTCGGGGCCGGGGCCGCGCCAGCGGGGCCGGGGAGTTCGTCTGGGCAGCGGGACGGCGGCTCAGCCTGCCCTGGAGCTGCGGTAAGTCGCGGTTCTGCCGCCTGAGGGTTCCCCCCGGGCGAGCGGGAGCACCAGGCTCCCCCCGCCCTCACCCAGCGCCGCGGCGGGGACTGGCTCGGCTGTGGTTCAGCGGCTGGTTGTGACATTTAGCAGCGGCAGCAAGGTTATTGTAACTTACCTGGGGCGTGGAGGTGTTTTGGGTCTCGTTTCTTGGCTTGTTCTTAAGGAAGAGTGGGTGAAGTCACTTTGCCGTGTTAATAACGTTGTGATTTATGTACAGGCGTCTGGGATGTGCTGTGGCAGCGTTCGGCTTTGAATTCCACGGAGTCGCTCAAAGCTTCGGTTAGGAGGTGAAGGTAAAGTTAATGTAGTAAGAAAAGACAACGTTTTTGAAGGAAAAATAACTGTAGAAGTGCATAATGAAACCATGGAAGTGTTCAAGGCAGGGAGCTTGGAGCCACCTGGTCTAGTGGAAGGTGTCCCTGCCCATGGCAGGGGGATGGAAAGAGATGATTTTTAAGATCCTTCCAACCCAAACCATTCCATGATTGTCTTTGGACAGTGAGTGACTTCTATGGATCACTTCTGTAAATGATTTAAAGCATTTTTATGAAGTGTTTTAAAATTATGCCATTTGAATGAAAATCCCTGGCGGAGGGGCATCAGTGGATGCAGATTGGACAGATAAGGCATTTTTCCACCTGAGAAAGGGCTCTCATGTACTGGTGACAAAGATTGCGATGTGTCATTTAAGTAGTTTAGAAAGCAGACCTAATAGGAATATGTCTAGTGTTTTTATGTACTCTTTAATTCGTTAGAAGCTTCTGAGGGAAGGCAGAGAAGAACTGACAAGTGTTTATAATAAACAAGCTTCACAAAGAGCATCCTCCATCCCTATGTGCTTTTTCTCTGCTTTTTATTCATGTTTTTCACAAAACTGGGTTTGTTGCATTGCTTTGGTTTTAGTGTATTTTCCAGCTTCTGTTGCTAAAAGAAGGGCTCTGCTGCAAGAAATTGTCTTCCTGTGTTCCTTTATGACTTAGACTTTCTGGTTTTAAAGGTTCTCAGGTTTTCTTATGGTTTTGTCCTTGATAACTGTTTCTTGCTTCCACAGAATTAAAAGGAATATGCTTTAACTTCCCTCAGTCCAGCACCTGGGGGATTTTTAGTTCTTGTGAGGCACAGAGCTTAAAGTTCACCTCCTTCTTAATATGAGTAGTTTTAAAAAACTTGACAGTTTTCTGATTTTATGTAAAACTTTATGGTTCTGCAACTTTCAGAGTCAGTACGTGCATCTTGTGTGCTGTGTGATGTAAAATAGTTCACTGTGTATCAACAGAGATTCTGATGCTTCAGCCAAGAAATGCTTCCATGTTAAGGGGATGGAAGCTTTGCCCAGGAGTTTAAGAAAATAGGGATGGTTGGTCTCTGAGGATGCTTTTACTCAAGTGAAATCACACAGTCAAGGGCAGCAAATTCTTGTAATAGTGTTCCATGACCTCTTAGGATTTCTTTGAGAACATAACATAGCATTGCTACCTTCTGTACTAGCATGTAGTAAGTAAAAATAGAATGGTTAGTTTAACATATTTTTTTAACGGTAATGTCCTCTTGAATACCATGGAGCGTCTCTAACTTCTCTTGATTTTTATTAAGGGGAGAACCTGGTAGGAAGAGCCAGAGAGGTTGCACTGGAAGTGAGTTGTGTGGATTACTTCTGAGGAAGAGGGAGTGTTGGTACCATGGAAGTGGGAAAGAGCAGCCATGTTAACAGCAAAAGGAGTTCTGTCACTCAGGGCTCCTGTCCAGGTGAAGATCTGGGTGAAGGAAGCCTTTTAAGTGAAGACTCCCATCTGGAGTATCTCAGTGCTTACGAGGAATATGCTGATGATACGAATAGCTCAAGTGAATTCTGTGAGGAGAGGGAAATTGGAGAGGTGAAGGACATACCACAAGGTCACAAGGTGCCACCCCACATCAGTACAGGGGAAGAAGTGTCTGGGGACAGCAACAGCATCTCAAAGAAGCCAGAGGGCCCTTTCCTGTCACCAAGGGAAAGCGCCTCTAAAGTAGCTCTGCAGTTTTGTGAACGTGCAGAGTCTTCTGATTTCTACAGCTGTGAAAAACCTGGTACCATCTGTGTTGACAGCACTGCAGAGGATGCTGAAACCCAATCTCCTGTCTCTAAAATTCCCACTAGTAAGAGTCCTGATTTTGGTGTGGAAGTTGCAGATGAATCCTCCGGTAGAAGTCCCTGCTGTGTGAACTCAGAATGCCGTGGAACCCCAAAAAGCACTGCCAGTGTCTCTGCAGTTACACAGGCTGTCGATGCCAGCTCTGATTTCAGAGCTTGCTTTACAACAAGCAGAAGCAGCAGTGCTCAGGTTTGTCTCTGCTCCAGGGCAATTAACACAGAGATAACGATGATGAACAAATCTCGCCCCGTGGGATGGCCCCGTCAAAACTGTGTGGATGCTGCTTCCAACACAGAATGGTCATTTGGAGCCCACAGCTCACACATTCAGGTAATTTGAAAAAAAAAATAAAACAACCAGCCAAACCATTTTGATACATAGAACTTGTTTTAACTTGGAGTTGCTCAGAACTTGTCTGTGTAAATGTTAATCTGTAACTTTTTTAAATGTTTTTTTTGTTTGTTTAGGAGCAGTGGGAATCAAAGAATCAGCTGTGTACCTGTGATTGGAAGATAAGCACTGACAGGTGGGTTGAGTTGTTCTTGGTTTGGAATTCTAGATGCTGGATAAGAGGGTTTTTCATGATTGAAAGATTCTCTGTGGCTTGGCAAAACTGATGGTATTAAGAGATTGCTGGGCAGCAGCAGCTTCTGCACTGGAGGGTAGGAAGGGACCTGGACAGGTGAGAAAAGTAAGCTGAAAACCTCCAGAAGTTGAACAAAGACCAAAGCAGCCTTGGACTGCAGGTGCTGACCTCCAGAGATCCTTTCCAACCTAAATTATTCCATGACTGAGGAAACAAAATAAGTGTGTTTGCAGATTTATAGAGTTGCTAAGTTTCTTTTTTGTTCTTAAGGCTTCACTTTTTCGATAGAAATTATTATGGTGCTGGTGCAGTTCCCTCCTCTGAATTGAGGCTGAATGTAATGTGAAAGCAGATGAAAAGCATTTTACTTTCTGTGGGATAAATTAGAGGAACTAACTTATTTTTTTCTTTTTTTCCTTAAATCATATCAGAAATAGCTTCTGGAAATCTCCTTGTTTCAAAATAAAAAGTAATGAATGTAAACAAAACATTGGAAGCCCTGGAATCAATATTCTGTTATTGTTATTATCGTTTTAAAGGCCAGGACATCTCAACAAGCAAACCCTGAAGAATTCTGTATCAAGCTGCTGTCAAAACACTCTGCAGAGAGCGACTGAGGCGGAGCTGCAGCTTCTGGCCATCCATTATAAGATGTGCTATCAGCACTGCTTGACGGTTTATCAGCTGGCTTTTGAGGAGAACGCTGCTTTTGGGAGGCATGTACTTTCATGTCCTTTTAGATTAAGTGGATAACTGGTTATCAGGCATTAATTGTGAAATGGTACTGATATAGTCTATCCAGAGCTTGTAAGAGTCTTTGTGGTTGGTGCTGTTGTCCAGAAAAGTTTACATTCTTGTCACTGCCAAGTCTTATTTCCAGCTTTAATTTTTTTGTAGCATTCAAAGACCCAAAATACAGCTTGTTTCCAGGAATAAAACCCAAGCAAAACAAGTGATACACAATATAGTTGCTAACTTGTGTTTCTGTACAACGTGGAGGTCTCTTGTAAAATCTTTGGGCAGTTCTGGAAGCAGTAAAATAAAGAAAATATCTTCCTAAGTTGGTGTTATTTTCTTATCCATATTTCAGTACATGTGATGAGAAGACTGAATTACATTCATCTCTCCTGTTGGTTTTGGAAGAGCTAGAAAATAATTACAACAATATGAGAATGGAAATAAACATGGGCATACCTTTAAACTCTCTCCCACCACTGTCAGTTGAAGTGAAGTTACCCCCAATCTCTTCCTTTTACGTCCCTGGCAAGGTAATTTCTTAATTGCTGTATGGTTTTTAATATAAATGGGTTTATTCAGAAAAGTAAGACAAATCTTTCTTCTTTTGGCAGTTTTTCAGAAAGTCTCTTGGCTCTGAGTAAGTAGTTTCATTTCTTGTTGTACTTCCTAAAAATAAATGAGGAATGAGTTTATAAGATGTTAAACTTAAAATTTCTTGATTTCAGAATGTATCTCGCTGTTTCAGACTGTTTAGCTGAAAGACCAGCATTGCCCTTTGGGTACAATGATTTTATTTTAAGGGCAGTTTTACTCTGCAGTGTTCTACTATGCAAACTAGGGAGTTACATCTTTACTATCTTAAAAAACTTCAAAAGTTTTCAATTTACAGGTAATTTTCCTGGTTCCCTACTTTCACTACTAAAAATCTTTGTCTCCAGTCATGATGGAATCTGTCTTAAAAACCAAGCAGCCACAAAACCCCAAAAGGACTTTGCTGCCAACAGAGATAAATATTGAGTATATAAACATCTGTTCTGCTAAGATTGTCATTCAGTTATGAAGAATGATAGAAAAATAACTTCATATTTCAGGCAGATACATGGTATTGCATAGTCAGGAACCATGTCCAGTGACTTTACGTGGAGATAAAAAAACAAATTTGGCAATAAGTTTTACTGAATCAGGTAAACAGCTGAAGACCTTTTTGAAATTTCTTTTTAAGCATAAGTAAAATCAACTGAAGAAAAAAAAGAGCAGTTCTATTTGTTTTATAATTAATTAGTAAAAATTGCAGAGATATTTTGAATTGTAAGGACATACATCAAAACATCCCACAGAAAGCCATCTAGATATAATCAAAAAAAGCTAAGATTTACTAAGTAAGTTTATTTTACCAAGAGCTTTTGGAAATATTTAAATTAATGTGTCAGAGTACTTGTAAGAGTAATTGTAGAATTTAAAATTGTTGTGCCATATTTTGTATGAAGTTCTTGGATCTGTTTTAGTGGTCTTTCAGGTGAAGAAAAAGCTGATGTTGAAGCACCAGAAATGCAACAGCAGACTTCTGTCAATAGGGTAGGGACTTCTTCACTTCTGAGTTCCATAGGTGTTAATGTTGTGGAGCAGGGTCTCCTTTTACCTGCAAATACAATCACAGTTTTCAGGGCTCAGCCTGAGATCCTTTGCCACTAATCACAAATGCAGCTGATGTGTCCACAATTTTGATTGCCCATTCAAAATAAGTTGGGGATTCTTGAAGACAATCAGTAGGATAACTTCATAAAATTTACCTGTTTAATCAACTGATATTCTGAAGCTTAGAAAAATAATGTATAATCAGGTGCAAGTGCTGTGATGTAAACTGAAACATGATTGTAGGACAAGTCACAGTCTGAAGGTGGTCAGCCAAGTGACTCTGCTTCCCCCGAGGCACGGGAAGGACAACATAAAGGTCGGGATCTGAAACATGGTAAGCGATCTGCATCCAGTGAAAACACCACGTTATTTGTGAGTTGTTGGGGAAAAAAACAAACCCTGTGTAAAACATATACATGGGTACTCAGCTGTTCTTTCTGTGATGGAATGCTGATATATCAGCTATCATAATTTATTTTTAATAATAATTTATATTAATGATAATAGTGTAGAGCTCTATATTATTATTTACATCTTGGAAAAAAAATTGCTATTGAAATTAGAAGTGAAAACTAGTCTGTGTCACCTTTTAAATGTAGTACTAAGTCATGTAGGTAGCTGGAATCCTCTTAAGTATAGAAATTTGATATTCATATGACATAACACAGTTTGAATTTTAACACCCTGAATTTTATTTCAATTGTCAAGGCCGTATGAAAACTGAGGAAGGGACTGAATATTGGTTTGATGCTAAAGAAGAGTTGACAATGTCAGATTTTCCAGTAATACCTGAAGAAACGAAAAAGCAACAAGAGAAGCAAGGCACGGGTGATTTAAGAGTCGTGTGCTTTAAGCTGACATTCCTAATAATGGTGGTTTTTTATTATTTGAGTAGTCTGTTCCTTCTACAAGCATAAGTAAACCTGGAAAAAATGCCAGCTGGGTTTTCAGACTTATTTTTTCATTGACTTACAGTGAATCCTTGTAGATAACTCAGCTGTTTTCATCCATATTTTTCCTTGAAAACTTTACCTGCAGTGGTTAAACTCAAATTAGTAAATGTCCAGCCAATCACATAGGTAGAAATCTTTATTTTTTTTTTCTCCTCCTCCCCTTCCTTCCCATGCTGGATTACTAAGAGTTAGCTGAGAATGGTCTGTGTTTGGACACTTGGGTCACAGTGACTGGCATGGTGAGAAGTCCCTGTGTGCTGAAGGCAGAGAGCTTGGGGGCTCCCCTGCCCAGCCTTCAGCAGTGGTACCTGTTAGTTCAGAGCAGTGTTTTCTCTGCCTCTTTTGCCTTTTCAAACCTCAGGAAACACTTAGGGAAGAGATATTCTACGAACTGAACTGTTGTGCTTCTCAGGAGACTCATTTTCTGTTAGAAGATCCTCTTCATTCTCTTAGTTTTTTTCAAAGGTTTTCTCTCTAGGCATTCCAAAATTTACAGAGAATATGTCAGCTAGAACTGAAACAAGAATAATTGTAACTGTTTGCTTTCTTACATTTATTATTAGAAGCGAAGACAGTGCAGAGTGGGAATGAACATTCTTCTGTTCATTTTGGTGGCCCAAGTTCCTCAGTGTTGGAGGTACGTCTGTTCTTAGTTATGTTGTAGTAGTAATGTCTTGCCTCTTTAATGAGTTCATTCGTACATTTGCTGTCAAGTTCCCTGATATGAAATCACCTACTGAAGAGTTGGTACATTCTGTGCTTGGAGATAATCAAAAGGTAAATAATTACTACCGAAGCTCCTCTCTGTGACAGACTAAGAGCCTTAAAACTTCTTGTCTCATTAAATGTTACATTTAATATGTAGAGAATGATGTTAGGATAGGAAAATGTGTTATGTATTGGTAATAAATTTCTGGCATGTGACAGAAGAGTGAGAGCACTATTGCTTTGCATCAAATTGTGACTTTTCTTAAGACAGTAGGGAACTTACCCATTTGCACTAGATTTTTCATCTTGTTTTTCTCCCCTTTTGAGTAACACCTTTTTTTAATGTGAATGTTCTGGCATTTTAGACAGGAAAGATTTTGGGGTACTGGATTGGAAAGAAATTGTGGGATTTTTTAGTAGAAATCTAAGAAATATCTGTACAAACACAGTATTTTGTCTTGGCTCAGCTTGGCCCTTGGACGGTAAACGCCAAATTAGTACTTGCTGGTATTGCTCTCATAAACTGCATAGATTTGCTGTCTTTGGGGATTTCTCTTCAAACATGCTAGTCCTTTGGGAAATGGTAATTGGATCTAATTTAAAGTAGCAGGAATGTAAGTTACACATAAATGCATGTAGTAGTTTTATTTCTAATTTACAGATTGGATAACATGAGTGGTTGTATTGGAATAACTTACTGATCTGAGTCTGTATTGGTCACTGTATCATTTGGGTTTTTTCTTGTTCTGTAACAGGAGTATTCAAACTGGTATCAAACTGAAAGAAGGCAGGGTTAGATTAGATATTAGAAAGAAATCCTTCCCTGTGAGGGTGGGGAGGCCCTGGCACAGGTTGCCCAGAGAAGCTGTGGCTGCCCCATCCCTGGAAGTGTCCAAGGCCAGTTTGGATGGGGCTCTGAGCAACCTGGTCTAGTGGAAGGTGTTCCTGCCCTGCAAGGGGGTGGAACAAGATGGACTCTATATAATGTCCCTTCCAACCTGAATCCTTCTGTGGTTCTGTGACTTTATATTTATTTGTAGGAAAGATTTGTTGTATGACCTGTACAATACTTAACCCATTCACTTTTTCCTTATTTTGATGCAATTCTAGGATACTGGAGAAAATTCCCTGCAGAAAACATCTTATTCTAACACCATTGAACCAGGTGATATCTTTAATTCTCCTTATGCACTGAACTTGAGCAGCTTTACCAAGCTGATTAAGAGACTTCAAGCAACCCATCCAGAGGCTAGCAGGTGAGAGTTCTGGGATTTCTTTTCTGCTCTGACTTGTAATGGAGCCAATATCCATGGTAACTAAGTGCTAAGTGTATTGCACAAAATGTGATGTGTAAACAGTTATTTCTTTCATTTCCATAGAGACCAAATTGTGGAGGCTATTCAGCAGGTGAGGAAAAACAACAAAGGTATGCTATGTGGCTTGGCCATCAGTACTATTGAGGAAAGGACCTCTGCCATTCTGAGGAAATCAATGCCCAATTGTGGGCAGGAAAAGCAGTGAAAAACAGTGAGTATTCCAGCCTGCAGAAATACATTGAAATAAAACCACTTGAATTTGCATAGCTCTATAGCCTGACTAGATTAGCAGCTTTACAAGAAGTACCGTAGTGAATCCACTGAAACACCGGTTTCTAAGGATTGGGAGCTGTCTCACAGCACACCTGTAGAACTTGGTGTACTGGGGGTTAACTACTAAACTGCTTTACTGATTAACTTTGTGGAGGGCATCGTCACACATACTCTGCACAAAGGTGACATCTAATGGCCGGCCCTTGCGTAGCCTTTCAGAAAGAAATCCCAGCACGGGATCAGTTTTGGTTCAGAAAAAATGGTGACTGATGGCTGATGTTCAGCTCTGGAGTAGAAATCTGACAGAACCAGATTGTATGTCTTGTAGTTTTTTCATGTTAAGCACTTTGCACGATGATACAGCACTGCAGGAAGCTGCAGTGAGCTGAACATGCTGAAACCACAGCCCAGAATTCCCGGGATGTGTGTATCTATTCTCCTGTAGGAGACATCCTTGTTTTAGTCTCCTACTAAGCTTGGTACCCTGCTTGCTTTGGGTACCTACGGGTACCTTTAGGAACCTGCTAGCAGTGCCACTACCAGATTTCCTGCAAAAAGTGTTAGTCTGCTGACTGAATTCCACTGGACTGACACGAACTCATGCCTAAAATATAAAATTTTACACTTGAGAGTGTTGTCAGTCAGTAAGTTTTAACAGCCTCAAAACGTTCTGCTTTCCTTGTCAAGTGATTATTTATTTTTTAAATGGTGTGTGGGCTTTGCAGTCATAATTGTTCCTATTACTGTATTTTTTTTGTTGCTTTGCAAAAGAGGTGATGACATAATTTTTATTTTGATCGTGAGGGAGGTGTGAAATAGCCAAGTCATGAGTAAATAAGAGAGAAAAATAATTCCCATCTTTCCATAGTAAGAAAAAAAGTAAGTAATGCATTTAAGAAAAGGTGATTGGGCTCAAAGCTCATCTATCCTAACTGCTCTCTGTTGTACTTTGTTCTAGATCCTGCTGCAATTGCTACTGGAAAGAGCAGCCATGGTTACTAATAAAGGTTAAAATTTGTTCTTCAAAAAGTTGTGCCAGTGTTGTGCTGTTTTCAGATTATTAGTAGCAGCTGTTGCTGTTTCTGTCCCCTGAACTTGACTCTAATTAGGCAGGTGTTAATAGTGGGGGAAGAACGAACTGTCTCTCTGGCTTGCAGGCCGTTTTGTTCCTGTTGGGAACGCAGAAGTGTCTATAATGTGAAACACTCAAATGCACTGTGGCATTCCTTTAGGTTTCATTGTTCACTGTTCTCCCTTTGAAAGGCAGAGCTGACTTAAAATGTGAGAGAACTGATCTGTGGTCAATAAAGGTTAAAATCTGTTCTTCAAAAAGTTGTGCCAGTGTTGTTTTCAGATCTCATCCACTCCCTCTCCTGGTAGCAGAGCCGCTGTCGGTAACGCTGTCAAAGCCCAGCTTTGTACTGTACCTTGGTCCTGCTGCTGCCAGTGAGGTTTTGGTTTCTTCCCTGGTCCTGTAAAGATGAAAGCAGGCCTAGGCTTTGCTGTGCCACATTATTAATAGCAGCTGTTGCTGTTTCTGTTCCCTGAACTTGACTCTGTAATTAGGCAGGTGTTAATAGTGTAGGAAGAACTGGCTCTTTGGTGTGCAGGCTGTTTTGTTTCTGTTGAGAAAGCAGAAGTGTCTGCAGTGTGAAACACTCAAATGAGTGCACTGTGGCGTTCCACCAGGTTTCCTTGTTTATTGTTCTTCTCCCTTTGAAAGGGAGAGCTGACTTAAAATGTGAGAGAAGCGATCTGCGGGCCAGTGACCTCACTGCAGCTGGAGCCCTCACCTGCTCCTAATGGCTTATCCTGAGGAGCCCAGGCAGGCGCTGCTGTTCGGACATGATTCGGTAATGAGCTGCAGGTGGAGCTGTAGGAGCTCAGTAGTGATGTTCCACTCGGTTAAAAAAAAACCAAAACATTTACCTTCTCCCTAAGATTGCGCTGCATCCTCTATGTTCATATCCAACACATAAAAGAGGGAAGGCTAGATTTTCACCCTCAGGCTAGGGAGAAATTCCTTCGGTGGAGATAGAAGCAGGGCTAAGGAAACCGCGTGGGGAAGAAGGACTTCTCGACGCTTTCCCTCTGAACTGTTCGCTCCCTTTCCCGCGGCTACGGGTGCGGAGTCGGAGGTAACGAGAGCCTCGGTTACATCCTGCAGGCGCCTCGGGAGAGGTTCCCCGCGGTCTCCGGGGAGAAGGGGGTGTTGCGGACGAGCGAGCCCCGTGGAGCGGGCGGGGCCCGCGGCCGCCCCGGGTCCGCCCCTGCGCGCAGCGCCGCGGGCGCGGAGCCCGCCCGGCCCCGGAGCGGAGTCGCTCCTGCCGCGGGGCCATGGCCCTGCTCCCGCGGCGCTTCCTCTGCTTCGTCCTGGGTAAGTGCGGGCGCCGGGACACAACTTCCCCGGGGCCGGTGGGGCGGCGGGAGAGGCTCCTTGGAAGCCCCTCTGCCTTGGGAACGGGGGTGCAGCCCCTGCCGCCTCCTCCCGGGCCTCACCGCTCACACCCTTCTTCCCCGAAACCCGGGGAGGCACCAGCCTGGCGTCGCTGGCGACACAGCGGGTGGGAATCAAAAGGAGAAATTATCCCAGAACGCCGGGACACATCGCGCTTGGCCTGGGAGTCTGAGGTGATGATGCTGTTGGACACAGCCTGCTTTGTGTGGGATTCCCTGCTTGGTAGGTGAGATGTACTGAGCCGTGCTCCGCTGGCAGCCGTCCTTGCCTTTTGCTACACATTTTTAATTACTGCTTTAGGAGTCTCTCTTCCCGTTCCTGAGCCGCAGGGAGAGCAGGCAGCCAGAAGTGCTCGTTCGAACAGGCTTCTCTCGGGTGAGGTCAGATGTTTCGGGTTTTACCGGCGATCGGGTTGGAAATTCTTGTTGCCCGGTTGTTTTCGTGGGTGCAGCGTGCCCTGGTTTCTTTGCTGCTCCTGGCATTTCAGCGGCAACAGGTAGAGACTTGTGCGGTGCTTGTCACCTGTGTACCCGCAGCAGAAAGCTCCGAGGGGTCGTGTACATGCGCTCTCTAGAAGTGTGTTTATTTAAGGTACTTAAACCAATGCACCCTCGTCCTAACGCTGATCTTCCATGCAATCAGAGTACTCCTTGAGGATGCACAGGTTTCTCCTTCTTTTCCCTTCCTTCTACTGTGCTGGTTTTCTCCTCCAAACCCTGGTGAATAATGCACTGAGCTGTGCTGCAGGTAATGGGCTTACCCGTACCCCCTGATTAACTATTTACTGCTCCTCAGCTGTGCAGGGGCAGGAGAAAGCTGTGCCCTTGGACGAGGCATGTTCTCCATGCCGGGTTGCAGGGAAAGGCTGCGGGTCCCTGGCTGAGGAGTGAGTGGTCAGTGCAGAAACCTGTGCCTGGTTTTGCTGCCAGTGAGCACTAACTCCTGCTGGTTAGGATTTCTCTCTGTTTTCTTTTTCCAGTCTGTCTCATTTTCCTGACCCTTCCTTCTCTTGGTTTGGGCACTGTAACTGCTGAAAGCGAAGCAAACAGGAGTTGCTGGTACTCCAGGCTGCTCCTTTCCACCTACAGTGGGCTTGGAAGCAGCAGGACGCTGCCTCTGCCTGATGGCAGCTAATCGTGGTGCTGTGGATGTGTTTGTCTTTACCTAGATCCTTCTTGTGGGATTATTTATTTTTATTTTTGAGCACACTCTGTGTTATTTAACAAAAAACCAACCTTTTTGTGTTTTCTGCTTCACAGCCCTGCACACAGGGCTGCACTGAAATTGCAAGTGACAACTGAGTGCTCAGAAATTATGGTAGAGTCATGAATTTTGAGGTCACTGATGCTTCTGAGGAAGCAGATGTTTTAAAATGAAAAGAATATTTTGAAAAGGGGAGGATACAAAAGGCATGGAAAAAGCTCTGCTACTATATTTGCCAGGATCCTGGTAATGATCCTGCTGGCAGACCTGGAGTGCCTCTGCTTGACACCAGGTCTGACACTCGTGTGGGGAGCATCGTTTCTGTGCCTGTAAATCTTGCCACACTCCGTTTTAGGGCCTCTTTGGGCCAGCAGCAGGAAGGGAGGGTGAGTTTTATGGCTGTGTGTTGGTGTTTTCACTGCCAGCTCGTGGGCTTGGCCGCTGCCTTGGGACACACTCTCAGAGGCTTCTTCTGTCGCTAACACACCTTCCCTTGCAAACTGTCGAGAGTTTTATGAACATTGAGTGTGGTTTATGGTGGTTTCCTCCCCAGAGCTGGGTTTCTGGAGATGTGTCCACCTCTGTAGGCAGCTCAGCCTGACCTTGGGGGCTTTCTTTGGGGCTGGTCCTGCCCCAGCTCCTGCTCGCTGTGTTCAGCTGTGCTCTGCTGCTGCAGCCCACAGCAGGATGCAGAAGTGGTTTTGTGTTTCAGAAGAACTAGATACTGTCTGAGATCTGACTTCTCCTGCTAGCTGGGAACATCCTCTGTGCTCTGTGACCACAGCCTCTGCAGGGCTCTGGTGGGGAACAAGTCCCTGGCCTAAAGCTGGGCGAGCTGTACCGAATTTTGCGTGTGGTGTGGCCCGTGAGAGGATGGAATGACACAGGCCCTCTCCCTGTCACCATAAACCCCTGTCTGTACCAAAGCCACAGTCCAAATCCTGGCAGGATTGGCCAAGCATTCCTCCTATGCCAGAAAAGCCTTTCTTTTAAGCTTTAGGTAACTTCCCACCTTGCTGCAGAGTCTTTCAAAAGCGGCGATGGTCAGGGAGTCGACCGTCCTAAAAATAACCTTGGTCTCATTCAGCAGGCCTGAGATCCAGCTGTATCCCAAGGTAACCACTTCCATTAAGGTAAAATTAGGCTTTTTCTGTTTTTTGGCTACAGCTCCCTATAGAGGCTTCTCAGGAGGGGATGAGCTGTGGTCTTGCTCATTGTTACTGGGGCAGTGATGATTGGCACCACATCAGCTCTGCACTGTATTTCAGTGTTTCAGGGCAGTGCTGGGCTGTACTACTCGGATTTCTTTTGGATTTAGAAAGCTGCGTTGCAAATAAGGCTGATAAAACATTAATATATCATTGATTCCCTCCGTCTTCTGTCTGTGCTGTACAGCACTGTGTTTGCATATTCTGCAGAAAATGATGCTTTCTTAAAAACAAAATGTTTTGGCACTGTTTATGACCTCTCCTGGAAAACAGGAAATTTTAAGTCCATTTGTATCCTCTCTTCAGCTGCTGACACCTCTGGAGTCAGGAGAAAAGGTAGAAACCTTTGAAGTTCTTCAGAGTGTCTTTAATTTGTCTTAACTGTGTGTATGAACAACATGACTTTGATCTGTGGTCCAGGATGCCTCTGGGAAAAGATGTGGCAATGAAAGGAGATGCTTTGGGTTTTCTGCACATGCTTGGGTGCCTGTGAGCCTATGAGAAGGATACAGAGGAACTTTTTATGAGAGCGTGTATGGGAGAAGGGGGAATGGTTTCACATTGACAGAGGGCAGGGTTGGATTGCATATTAGGAAGAAATTCTTCTTTGTGAGGATGGTGAGGCCCTGGCACAGGTTTGCCCATAGAAGCTGTAGCTGCCCCATCCCTGGAAGTGTTCAAGGCTGGGCTGGGTGGAGCTCTGAGCAACCTGGGCTAGTGGAAGCCCATGACAGAGGGTTGGAATGAGATGGTCTTTGAGGTCACTTCCAACCCAAACCGTTCTGTGATTCTATATTCCTGTTGCCCTGTAACCATCCTTAACTGTTGTCCCTTACACCTTGATACCAAAGCTTGGAGCTTTGCAGGCTGTGGTCATCTCATCACTTGAATTTGCTGGACTCAAAAATAATAATAATAATAAGAAAAGATGAACAGTAAAAGTAATGAGAAAAGGAAACCTCTGCAGGAGCAGCTTTGTGAGGCAGGCAGCTGCACCATTACTGCTAAATTTTGGGGGTATATTTATGTTTTCTCTCAGCACAAAGCACACTCAGTAATGCCTGCCAGTGATTTGAGTGCCTCTTTTATAAAAGTGCTAAGACTTCCTTTAAAATCTAATTGAAGGCTATTGCATCTCTGGAAAAGTTCTCCTCAGTATTTAGAGCTTGCCACGTTAGAAATACCCAACAATAAAGCAAGATGTCCTCCTCCCTTTCAGAGCATTTCTTGAGATGGAGAGGACTTGAAACTTCCTAAACATTAAAAGTATGTGAGTAGGGAAGAACGAATTGCCCCCACCCTGTAATTTCTTGTATGCTCCCATACGTGCCAGTTCTATTCCTGCAGAAACCAGTGGCCTGTGGATTTGGTAGGGTGGATGGAGGCTGTGTTATCTGGTCAGGAAGCCACTTGGGTTTGAGAAATTGAATTGCATTTATTAACTCTGAAATGCTCTTGAATTAAAGAGCCATTAAGCATCGGCGCCGTGATCTCCTATTTGTGATGACCCAGGAGGTTGTGGATAATGAAAACATAAATGCTGTGACCTGGTTGGAATGAAATTAGAGACCTCATAATGGCTAAAAATGGGGTTGGCATCCTTTATGTTTTCACGGGGCTGGGAATCAATATCAGATCATTGCAGAGTTAAGGGAGATCTTGGAAAGCTGCGGGTGGGAATCTGGAGTTACTGCTCTGCACTGGCAGGTTCATTCTGCTTCTCTGGCCAGCTGTGAAGTCTGGCTCTGTCGGTGTTAGTGGGTGTTTGGGGGAGGTTTGGGCCCCACAGCGATGGTTGTGGTCACAGCCCTTCCCGGCACAGACCCTGCACCAGGAGAGGACCAAAACCACCACTGGGTTGGAGGGAGAATAGCATTGAAAACCCCTTATAGGGGAAACAGAGCATGTTTCAGCTTGGTCAAATAGCTAAATGCCTTTTTCTCTTCTAAAATATATCTGTGGCTAAGGTTTGCCAGGCTAATTCCTGCTGTGGGTGGGTGAATACCAGGGAATCCTTGTCCCTGTCTGCTGTTGTGCTGCTGCCTGGGAGCTGGTTGCTTTTAATCATCAAACCCAGTAATGAACCTGCTTAATGGTCTCAGTCCCTTGTCTCTGTGCTTCTACAACGTGAGCTTTTGAGGATTTAAAAGCACATCCTGACACCTCAGGAAAGCATCCCAGCAGGGAAGTGGGCAGCAGCTTGGATGAAAACCTCCAGATTTTGGCCGAGGGCAGGATGCAATCCCTCTGGGCTTCTCTCTATCCTTTAGGTAATGTTGGGAAAGGGGCAGCGCTCTGTGTGTGTGAGTTGCAGAGGTGCAATGTCTGTGTGCTGTTCAGCTGGAAGGAAAGAAAACCGCATCAAGAAATCTCTGTTAAAAGGGAAAATAAATTACTTCTGGGCTGCTCACACAGCTCAGCAACAGATTTTAGTCTGGAAACTCTGTGTTGAAAGTATTTAGTCGAGCTGCTGTTCTGTGCAGCCTGTGATGAATGCACCAAGAAGACAGTGAGACTATTTATTTTGGTGTTCTCCCTAACAAATTTTTTATATTTACTCACTATGTGCTTCCTTATAGGTGATCTGTCAGCAGTTTTTTTAACCTCAGAGGTAGTTCAGTCAAATGGTAGATGGTCCCATGTAGCAGAATAGTCCATGTTTAATGCACTCAAACCCGTTGAAACCTGAGCCAGCAGAATCGCAGCGTGCTGTCTACAAACCACGGCCAAGCACTTTTAACCTTGGAGTTACTTTCCCCGTTCTTATTTTAGCCTCAGTCAACTGAAATAGCTGAAGGAAAAAATACTCTCGGGGGGTGGGAGGAGAGTGCATTTGCCTTTAGCACATTCCTGAAATCTTGAGTGTGGTGGCTGCTGGTTTTTCCCTGGCTTTCTGCAGCCAGACCAGCCTGGGTTTGAGACCGAGCTGACATCTGGCCTCCTGTGGCGTCTGGAGCTTTGTTG